AGGGACAATTTCTATTTATTTAACTTCTTTGTTTTCTATTTTTCCTATGTAGTTTTAAAGACCTGAATAAGATCTTTGAAGTGTACTTGCAGTAGGAACTAAGGTTTAAAAACTAAGAAGTCCAAAATATGGGAGCCAGAAGATGATTTTAGATCGCAGCCAGGCTTAGGGTTAAGCCTCCAACATGTCTACTCAAGTATGGCACACACATACTGATTGCCAGGATTATTGGACACGTGTACCAGGATTCTTTGCAATGTCACTTGCAAATAATTTTCATAGTAGCCAGATTTTTTATTTTCATGCAGTTGTTGTGTATTTATTATGAGTGATATATATTTGCTGCTTTATTAAGTTCTATCATTTCTATGATCCGTGCCTGTGTGTAGCTTTTCCAAAACCATGTGAAGTTGTTGCGAAGTACCTGGTAGCGATGTGTGATCACGATGACCCCCCCTCCCCCCTCTTCAAGCAGCGCACCAAATGTGATGTGTGTTGCCAAGATGCCATACTGGAGAAAAACCACCTCAGGGACAGCTCGTGGGATTTTGCTCTTGTAATTTGCGGCTTGGGGGGAGCAGGGTAAGATGCATGTCCAAGCTGAAATGGAGAGGGCATAATGTAAATAGAAAGATATATTTTTAGAATTTTACTTTAGGCATGAACCACAGGGTTACTTAGCTCAGTGTTATTATTGATTTATTTCTTTATTCTTATTTATTACTATTATTATTATTATTTTTTTTTTTTTCCTCCTTATCCAACTGTTTGTATGCTTTGGAATGATATCAGGAGACATATTAGATGCTTTTATTTATTTATTCAATATATGGCATTCTAGGTTTGATTTGCTGCAGAAATAGAAGTCCTTGGCCCCTTCACTAACACGTGCAAAAGGCCCTGCAAATGCCACAGTTTCCGATTTCAAAGTTATCAGAGTTTGTCCGTTGAAATTCTCTGATTTTCACATTGCACAGATATTGAAGTGTTGAGTACATGATTTCACTAATAGTAGCACATAGAGATGAATATGATGAAAAGAGAAGATGAAGAAGCTACTATATATAACAAGGTTTGCAAGGCAAAATATAGGAAAACGATCCAAGTTGTGATTTAGATTTACCTCCTAATGTTCTGTAGTGATGGAATGGAACTAGTTTGGCCAATCCCATGCACCTGCCACATAATGTAGGAACAGGCTAACCAATTTCAAGCAGATTTACTAGTCAAGGATAGTGGGTGATAATTATGATTTTGTTAAGTTAACGTTTCACAGAGCTTTCAGGTTTTGGACATGCAACTTCAGGGAAGCACTGTTAGTGAAGGGATGGTGATATTTTGACTTAAAGACCATCAGAATTCAATATCTAAGTTGAACAGAGTAAGCATGTGTGCACAGATTTGTACATGTACACATGAGCACAGAGTTGGCAAACTCAAACCTGTTTCTCTTGGTTTATGAAATTTTGTAGTATCTGTAGATCATGAAAGGAGAAATTTATAGCATCAGATGGATTTGAATTAGAGAAGGTAATGGACATGAAATGGCATATAAGTGAATCTTTCTTTCTTTTGTTTTTTGTCCATCCAATTAAGAATATAAGTAGTTCAGTATAAGGTAACAGATACATCTTAAGATTTTTAAACTGGTTTCTTCATTCTCTTTATTTATTTTCATTTCTTTGGATATTAGCAGCATCCATGGCAACAGGATTTCATAACTGGCAGTTAAAGATACCCATGATATAGATTTACAATATTGATAACATTGCTTATGTGATTGAGGGAATTGAAATGTGACTGTGTACCTTTCACAAAGCTTTGAGCAAAATCTCCACCTCACCCAAGCTATTTAGAATTCAGTCATTCTTTACAGAATTAGAAAAAAAAGATTAGTTGAACAAACCAAAACCCTAATCCTACCAGTGAAAGGGATGGGAGGAAGAAAGAAAAAAAAAAAAAGAGGTATAATTCCCTCAGCGATTCCACCGAGCTGGGTCCTGGCGGTGGTGCCATATTCCGGCGGTATTGATGGTGTGTATGGCTCTTGGCTGTCACTCAATGGTTGTGTTTTGTTCCTTGCAGCGTCCTCTGACTACGGCTTCCAAATGTGTAAGTGTTGTCATTTTTTTGAACTTGGGAATGGAATGCTCTCTGGTTGGCACTGAGACAAGGGAGTCTTTCTTTCTTTCTTTCTTTTTCATATATATATATCTATATATTTATGTATAATATGTAGACATGTACGTATATATACATATATTTGTATGTATACACTTATATATGGTATTTACATATATATACCTATATATATTTACTTATATATAAATATATATTTACATATATATTGGCTTATGGGATCCTTTCTCAGCAGTACTTCTTGCATCTCTTCCTGCTCAAGCAATGCGGTCTATTTTTATTTCCATTTTAAGTTAATCATGTGTATGTATTCTTCACATGTATTTTGTTATTTTACTAAGGCTTATGGGTCATTATCTTCTCCTTAGTCTTGTTACTTTGAAGTGATAAATATTGTTATTATTATTATTATTATTATTATTATTGTTATTATTATTTTGTCATTTTTAAAAGTATTTTGGATGATTTTACAACTATGATTATCATATGTTGGTTTATTCAACATTTTGTTATTGTTTTGTTTATTGTTTTTAGACTTATTATTTTTTTATTGCACTTCAGTTATCTTCGTCAGTTCCTTGTCTCATGTGGGATTATTAGATTATATGTTTTGTTATTGTCTTTATTATTTACCTTTCAAGGAGATTGTGAAGGCACTCTTATTATTCAGCTGTTGATCATACCTTGCTCATTTCTCGAGTGTTGTGGAATGAAGGCACCCACGGTAGAAGTGTCTGGTAGACATGTATGTGAAGTGATTGGTGATAGTCCTGGTGTTAACTCTTTGTGTATATAGTCAACAATTTTATGTACATTTTTAGCCTTTTTATGCCTGAGACTCATTTTATTTATTACCTAAATTTTCCTTTAGATGTGTTAACGCCTAATACACACCAGCCATTTCATGTGAGAAATGGTTTGTTATTTTGACTCTTAGTCTGTGTCCCAAAAAACAGTAAATAGATTAACAGATGATGAAGAATAAAGAGGCTGTGATTCTCTACCCTCAGAAGTAGGGTCTAACAGGTTTCAATCTCTTTAAAAGGGAGACACTGCATTATTACTCAGACCCAAGTCTTTGAATTTGTAAATTGTGCTGTTATTTTAGCATCAGATTTTGCATATGATATTAATTATAATGGCATGACCTCAACATTTGCCTTTCATCTTGAATGTTTTATTACTTTTGATAGTGAGGACACAAATTAGAAGCATCAGCTACCTTTCTTTTCACACTCCTTTTGTTTGTTGTCTGTTTAAAATCTTGATGGTTAAGGCAGATCTTGAGGTCTTGTGTTGTTTGCCTTTAAATGGGAATGAAACTCCCTATGACCCTAACCAGGTAAAACATAGATGGGGAAATGGGCACAATAAACCATCTCTTCTGATGTTTAGTTTTAGTATGATCTCTCAACTCTCAACTCCTGGTCAGCTCTCTCCTTCTGTGGTTTTCGCTTTTAAGTCCTGGTGAATGGAAGTCTTTACTTGTCTCTTTAAGGATGTTCTTGCAGAGAAAATGGTAATGTTTAGATTGGCCACATTTAGCACAGGCCTGATGAACTGTGCAGTTATCACTTAATGTGACCCAGCTTTCTCTCTTATTCAAGACAAGGTGTACTTGCACATATTTGTCTGCCGGTCTAAATGTTACCCTTGTGGATCTTGCAAGAGTTTGTATTATGACAATTTTTTCTTAAGATATTTGTGGGTACATCAGTACACTTCTCTTCTCTTTGGCATGTTACTTCCATTTCAGTATTTTTCTACTGTTTATGGACTGGATGCCTTTTTAATGTACATTTTGTGAATAATGTATTCTTATTGTGTGAGAAACTCATAAAGGATTTTTATCTTTTGGAGTTTATATTTTTATTTTTGTCTTATTGTTATTATTAACATCAGCATTGTTTTTTCTAAATCTTGGTGTTGTACAAATCATAGTCCTTTATTTTATTTATAATTTGTATTGTCATTTTCTCACTGTAGAAATGGTGTGCTATGAATAGCACAGAATTTTTCTTTGAATTTTATATATAGTTAGCTAACATTGGGGAAATAAAGGGTAATTATATCATTGTATATATTTCATTATATAAAAATGTTATTACTGAGCATTCATAAGGGATAAACTACTTTACTGGCTGACATCCCTTTCATATTGCGCTGTTAGTCCTTTTAGTTTCTCACTAATAGGAAAAATATTGATTAGATAGTCATGGACATTTTTGCCCAATTTCTTTTCTTATGATTAGTATTGTTTGTATTTTTTTCACTTGTTCATAAATATGTCCTATGCAGTGCTAGATTTATACATGTATATCTATTTCTATACATGTTTTTTCTCTCGCTCCCTCCCTCTATACATATTTAACCATATTAGTATTCACACAAATATACATTAGTCTGTCTCTCTATAAAAAGCACAGTACATGCCAAAAGATAAACTACCAGAAAACTGATGTCATGAGTTTAAGCGCAAAGTGTGATATTTCAGTAGTCGTATTGGACTACCAGAAGTAGTGTTGGACTTCTGAGAGCAAGATAAGCTGCTCATACACAGTAAGTCCATCATCCGGGAACATTGCTCCGTGTATATGTTAATTGTTAGCTTTTAGCTGATTGTATTGTGCAGTTATTTCTTCACTGATGCAACATTTTGTCTCAAGGGCCTTGTGAGTGACAGCATGTATAGGTCTTAATTAAAAGACCAGGAGGCAACTATTTGATTAAAATGTAACAGAAATATTAAGAAAACCAGTTTTACTTTAGACACAGTATTACTTCAGTAAGTATATTTCAGAGACAAATGCCCAAAACCTAGTCTGGCGAGTCTAAAATTACATTATTACTTCCAGTAAGTA